TATTGTAAAACGTATAAAAAAATTTTTTATCAATTGTGTAACCGATCTTCAAATTGATGGGACGGTCGCTCCTGTTACCGCCAGAAGCAAGATGATTTTACCCGATCTTTTAGAGAAGAGTCTGGCATTCTCTGGCGTTGTTTGAAGTCATTGGTGAAAGATGGAACACTTCAAGTCAAAGAGAACGCTGTCCGTTTGCAAAAATCTTTTGAGGCAAGTGTCTATTTTCTCTCCCTTTGATGTACGAGTTGTAGACAGGTGTGATGCTTGCTACTGAAGTCCCGAGAAGGGGTAACATACTTCCATGGCTACGGCGGGGGTTCAACCCGCTTTATGGTGGTTTCCCGCCATGTTTCATAATTATTGTGGAAGTAGGAGTCTCATTTGCAGTCCTGAGAAGGGGTACATACTCGCACAACTACGGCAGGGGGTTCAACCTGCCTTATGGTGGTTTCCCGTTGTGATCTGTCTACACTTTACGATTGTAATGGTTTCCTTTATAAAATATATCAATATTAATTTCCTCTATAACTGCATCAGAGACATCGAACGAAATTTGAGGACGTTCACATATTTTGGCAACAAATTGAGAATGAAACGTCGATTGATAATGCTGAGGTTTGATTTGTTGCTTACCAAATATTTCATTTATAACCTTCCTTTTACTAAAATCGTTTAATTCATAGACGGAAGTAGCTTGCAAGTTCATACGCAGATCTTCTAGAGTCATTGATGTGGCGCTTACCAATGTCGAGGAGAAGATGGTATAAATGATTTTGATCTAATATTTTGACTAGGAATACAAATCGACTTACTCTGTCACGTTTTCTTGTAGAAACAAAATCGGAAGCATGCAGATAAGGTCATAACTTAAATTTATTTAACAAAAAAAAATATCTTTTAACCTTCCACTTAGTTGAAATATATATCTTCTGATTATGAATACAATACCCCTTGCGATTTCTTTTAGGAAGGAGAATGTTCTACAAGGAGACTCGGAAATAGTGCATCCGATGATTATGATGTCAATTTAAGTGAAACTGAATTTTCTGACATGGATTATGAAGAGAAAGTAAGTTAATACCAATGTGTAAGAGATGAGATATTAATCGACATTAAAAAGCGTCTATGTAATTTTTAGCAGGAGTCCGATAAAAGAAAACTGAGTGAATCCGATGTAAGTTGACATCGGATGGATTATTTAATATGCAAAATATTATGACCAAAGTAATATATTTTGTTATTAGTATAACCCAAGTAGCAGTCCTATTTCCTCTGATTCGGGCAATGATCGAAAAAAAAAGGTAAAAATGATGTTAAAAAAGTGAAAATATAAACCATTATTAAGACTTTACACATAATTTAGCAAAAGATAAGCAAACGAAAACAACCAAAAACAGTGAGTCATGAAAGAGATTATTGCAGTAGTGTATGTACATTGGATTTATTTTATTGAGATTTCTTTGGAGATAATATCGTTGAATACTAACTCATCAACCGTCGCAAATTCAGACCAATAAGAATGAAGATAATCAAGCACCTGCAATAACGATGGCTGGAGGCGACGTAGAATCACTTCATCCACTATCATCATTACTACCCATTCCTCCGCTTCCATCGCCATTATTATCACCACCCGGTTCTATAAATTCTATACTAAACAATGTAATAATACCAAAAGATTTACCAACGTTGGTAAATCAAGATCAATTATCGCTTTCATTTACAAACCCTATCATCCAAACCCCTGGAACTCCACCGCCAAGGCCTAATGTCAATAATATACAGATTACTCCTCAAAAGTTGGTGCTTTTTAAGGAATCCGTTACCTATCTACAAAATCATATAAAGATAAATGTAAATGATCAAGGAATGATCATAAAAGACAATCGTACTTCGGAAGAAATCTCTGGTATAATTCGTAATTGGCTCATAATGGCATTAACGGTAAGTTATCATAAATTTCTTTTTAGATAGTAAAATGTATATATTAAAATTTTTTTACTCTAGTCACCGAAAGAGGAGTTTGTAAAAGCTATCATGACTCCTTTAAGCTCAGAAGCAAGTCCAAAAGATTGTGATTTTCGTCAAATTTGCGAGCTTATCCTTTATGATTTGTATGTGTATTGTTTTACTCACATATTTTTTTGACATCATAATATTACTGATATGCATGATATTTTATAATGATTCGATTAGTTATTTTATGACAAAGAAGGGTCCTTTAAAAAGAGATATTGGTGAGCGTACGTATATTGTCGAAAGGATCGTTCCCCTGTTCAAATCAATTCAATCGGTATATAATGAATACAAATTTCATTGGATCGAAGTTGAATTGGATTGTATGAGGGAAGTGAAGAAGATATTCCCCGAGTTTGATTTACCTATATACCAGGCTGATGGTCTTGGAGTACGGAATTCGAGTAAAAAGGCGGTTGTTTTTATCGAAATATTGGGTGGGCCCGAAAATACAGATCAAAAAAAATTAAAAGAAGATTCAGAAAAGCTTCTGAAAGAAGCTGTATTCGGACTTGTTTCCCTATTACGAAATTATTTGGATAAAAGTGTCGAAGAATCAAAGCAATTATACACGTTCATGATTCAGGGCATCGGTAATTTATTTGTCATTCATTAACTATTTTTAAAACATAAATCTTACATAGAAATACTTGTTAGGCGACCGGTTAACGCTCAGTAAATTATGCTTAATAAATAAGCATGTTTACAAAGTTTCGCAGATCAAATCTGCAACCCTCCCTTTCGAATTCATTGATGTGGCGGATTATTTAGCAGTATTTGAATTCCTTTATATTCTTGTAGTAGGTATGCTGAATACATTCATTGGATATTGCACAACTTCAATATAACATTCATACTTAATTTTCAGAGCGAGCTCGAAATTCAAACGGAGGTAATTAATAAATTAAGGTTATCTGAATCGGCCGATGGTGTAATTGTACCAAGAATTCGTGATTGGATTTGGCTGCCAGATTCGATTTCTGCATGGGAATGCGAAGTGATTCAAAGTGAAAATCTATGAATTACAAGCGTTAGTCTATTAATTTCAAATAGTCACACATATAATTCAAATTTAGATCATTTCTCTATCCAGAAATGGGTGTCTTGTGCATGTACTAAATAAAAACTACGTGTGCGTTACAAATTGTAACGCTGATCACTTTTGCCAAGAAAAAAAAATGTACGTACATTTGCTTTATTGTTGCAAATAAAATATAAAGCACATAGGTACTGGCCTTGGAGTAGGTCTAAAGCACAAGTAAAATGATATTCAATAGGGTTTATCTGATTGTTGATAGTGATGTTAAATTGCCGGTCCGGTCCGGTCCGGTCCTGGGACCTGAAACGACGGTCCTGGACTTGATACAAAAACTGATAGTTGATCGATCCCAGGACCGGGTCCTGAATTACAATCCT